TTTATCCTCTGTGGCTCATTCCTCCCACCCACCCCCCCTTCCAAACTCTTGCACATCCCCTCCATTGCATATACATGGTGAACAATCTGTCTTCACTGAGACTTAGGCCCTTTCTTCCCAAAACAGCAGCTTTCTTTCACCTTTTGAATTTGTAGTGTATTACAGCTGATTATTAAAAAGTATGGTTTTATTATAGTTATCCTGTCTTCATCCTCACTGTAACCCACTTACTGCATCTCATCTTCAACTAGGCAAGTAAACTCTATGGGGCAAGGACTCGCTCCCTTGCCACAGAACATGGATATAAGGGCCTTGATGACTCAATCTGTTAATTGGTACTATAATATATAGCCACTAAGCTCTTGGCTATCTTTAGCCCATCTTTGAGCACATGACCTTTATAAAAGGATAGATGCATCTAAAGGAACAGTATATAATGCTGTTCTTGTGGCCCACTGGGATTCAGTAATTTATCCCTGTGTGACACTTTTGATGCTACTTCATACTGCTTTTTATCACAACTTTGGCAACTTCATAAATGGAGAGGAAATGAACAGGTGTTGTTGTAAGACAGGGTTGTCCAAGTGGTAGGTCTCTTTGGCCATGTGCAGCCTGCAAGCAGTAAACATGTGGTCCATGGGTCCTGGTAGCCACCTCTGCATGGCAGGGGGTGGGAATTGCCCAGGGTGGGGAGTGGACACCAGTGCTACATGTGGTTCCCAGCCGTGCAGAAGTTGGGCAGCCCTACTGTAGGACAAGGCACTGATGAGAAGCTACCATGAATAAATGGTTCAAGATTTTAGTCTGAGCAGAAAAGCTGGCTAGCTGCATTTATTCAAATCCTAGAAAGTTAGGGTTCGAAGGGACCTCAGGAGATTTAGTCTAACCCCCTGCCCAAGGCAGGACCATCCCCAACCAAAGCTCATCCCAGCCAAAGCTTTGTCTAGCCAGGTTTTGAAAACCTCCGAGGATGAAGCTTCTACCATCTCTCTGGGTAACCTGTTCCAGTGTTTTACTACCCTCCTAGTGAGAGAATTCTTCCTAATATCTAACCTAAACTTCCCTCCCTGCAACTTGATACAGTTGTTCCTTGTTCTGTCATCTGCCACCACTGAGAACAGTTTAGCTCCATCTTCTTTCAGATCCCCCTTGAGGTAGTTGAAGGCTGCTATTAAGTTCCCTTGTGGCCTCCCCCCTCTTCTCTAGTCTAAATAAACCCAGTTCTCTCAGTCTTTCCTCATAAGTCATGTCCCCCAGGCTCCTCCTCACTTTTATTGCTATCCTCTGGGCTCTCTCCAATTTGTCCACATCCTTTCTGTAGTGGGGGGGGCCAAAACTGAACACAGTACTTCAGATGTGGCCTCACCAGTGGTGAACAGAGGGGAAGAATCACTTCTCTTGACCTACTGGCAGCACACCTACCAATGCAGCCCAGTATGCCATTCTCCTTGGCAGCAAGGGCACACTGCTGGCTCATATTCAGTTTATTGTCCACTGTAACACCCAGGTCCCATCCTGCAGAGCAGCTGCCCAGCCAGTTAGCCCCCAGCCTGTACTGGTGCATGGGATTGTTCCGTCCTAAGTGCAGGACTTTGCACTTGCCCTTGTTGAACCTTATGAGATTCCTTTTGGCCCAATCCTCCAATTTGTCTAGGTCACTCTGAATTCTAGCCCTACCCTCAAGCATGTATCTGCTGCTCCCCCCAGCTGAGTGTCATCTACAAAGTTGCTGAAGGTGCAGTCATGCCATCTTCCAGGTTGTTAAGACCTTGAAAAAAACTGACCCCTGGTCCGTTCATCCAGCCCAGACTTCCTTAGCTTGCCTGAGAGAATTTTGTGGGAGACTGTATCAAAAACCTTGCTAAAGGTACATCTGCTGGTCTTCCCGCATCCACAGAGCCAGTCATCTCATAAAAGGCAATCAGGTTGGTCAGGCATGACTTGCCTCTGGTGAATCCACGCTGACTGTTCCTAATCACCTTCTTCTCATCCAAATGCATAGAAATGGATTCCTTGAGGATCTGCTTCATGATTTTTCCAGGGACTGAGGTGTGAGGCTCATGTGTTTGTAGTTCTCTGGATCCTCCTTTTTCCCTTTCTTTAAATATGGGTGCTGTTTGCCCTTTCCAATCATCCTGGCCCTCTCTCGATCGCTATGAGTTTTCAAAAAAGATAGCTAGTGGCTCTGCAATCATGAGCCAACTCCCTCAGCACCCTCAGGTGCATCCTATCTGGCCCTATGGACTTGTACGCGTCCAGCTTTTTTGAGTAGTCCCTAACCTGTTCTTTCTTCTTCTCCAGCTGTGCTGCCTGGTGCAGTAGTCTGGGAGGTGACCTTGCCTGTGAAGAGTGAGGCAAAAAAGGCATTGAGTGAGCACATTAGCTTTTTCTGCATTCTCTGTTACAAAGCTGCCTCCCCCATTCAGTAAGGGACCCACACTTTCTCTGGTCTTCCTCTTGCTACCCACATGCCTTGTAGAAACCCTTCTTGTTACCCTTCACATCATTTGGTAGCTGCAACTCCAATTGAACTTTGGCCTTCCTGATTTCAACCCTCCAGGGAGTAGTTTTCTTTACATGTGCTGTAAACCCCTGCTTACAAATACTTATGCTATACATCTACGTCTCTTAGTCTATAAAGAAGAAATCTGCTTTGCTTTCTCATTTTTCAGGAATTAGATATGGGGTTGCTTGACTCTAAATTTGCTATTTCTATAATGTCCACATTAGTGGTTTTACCTTTTTCTTCAATCTGTGCAGACATGTAAGTCTGAATTCTGAGTTCTCCCACTGAGCTTACTGGGGTTATTTACATGTGTAAAGGTAGTTGCATTCATAAATGTCAAAGGATTATGGCTTGGCTGTGTTTACCCATGGAGAAGCATGAACCAACCATAGCCTTGTAAAGAATTTCAGTTAAAGACAAGATTACAGTACAGTAAAAGCTGAGTTATCCGGCACCTTACAAGCTGGCATGCTCTGTTATCCCACTTGTAAGGGGAAAGTGAAACCAGGAGTGCCCACCGTGGCACTCCCGGTTTCACAGGCCCCCACAGCCCGGGGCATAGCAGCCTGCTCAGGTCCCCCCTCCCTGTCCCACAGGGTCTACAGGAGGGCTGGCAATGCGGTGGGAGGGGCGGTGGCACCCCAGATGCGGAGGGACAGGCAGCTGCCCAAACAGGCAAAGGCGCCTGTTTGGGCCACTCAGTTATCCGGCATATTCTGTTATCCGGCACACTCCATTCCCCCTGGGTGCCAGGTAACAAAGCTTTTACTGTATATTGGGAGAGTATAAAGACCTCTAAAAAGAGCCTAAATGATTGCTTTTTTGATTCAATTTTTAAATCTCTGAATATTTGTACTGCGTCTAGTTTAAAGTAGTTCTAGCTTTTTCCTTACCAGAATACCACACTGCTGTTGGAATACTTGAAAAAATATATAAGTTAAACTTCGCAGTTGTGACTTATCTGTCAATTCATCTTCTGTCTATAAAATTAAATTGAGGAGAACTACATTTTTGCTTGCTTCTCACAAATATGGTATTACCTTGCGCTAGGGCTTTGTCTCCCTCTGCTGTCAGTTCTGCTTTTGCTTGTCTGTCTGTTCAAGATATTATTGCCAGTATGTATTTTTTCTTTTCACTACAATTTTTTTAAACTTCTCTTTTTTTTTTTTTAATTTCTTTAAGTTTCTGATATATACTTACAGCCTCAACAGACACTTAAGACTTTAGTGTGGAAACGCACCTCCAGTTATTGTGACCAGACTGCAGAAGTGTGTTTTTCATCTCCACTTCAAACCCGCCCCCCCCCCCCCCCCCC